GAGTAACATAGGATCAACACCAGGTCCCTCTCGCACCACATCCAAAGAAGTGACCATTCCAGAGTCACCAGAATATTCCATAGCTACATTATGCAACTCATTAGCATTAAAACGACACGGAGCTGGCACAGCCTCTCCCACAGACAAAACAGGACACTCATTAACAGCACAACCCAAAGGACTAGCACTAGCACAAGCCCGAGAAAGCTGAATAGAAGGTAAAACCCCAGCCATCTTATTCACAAAATCCTTCATATTAGACCCAGCAGCACCAGCCTCATCAATCTTATTGTTCAACGAAATAGGCAAATGTTTAAGAGAATTTGACACTAGCTCATTAACAGGAAGCAAAACAGCAACATCTACCTCAAGATTACCAATGTCACAACCCAAATCCTGCACCTTAGGCACCAACAAAATAGGGTTCACAGAGGCAACAGGGTTCATAGTCACAAATACACCATTCAAAGACTAACAAATCTTATGTCAAAATCTCCTTGGAAAGTGCAACTCATGGCATAAGAACTAATATTCATAAAAAAAAAGCTTTTCTTACTTTACCTTCTCCTATCATCCACAAAAGAAAACCGCATAAATCAAATTATATTAATGCTTTCGTACATGCTTTTTGCACAATAACATGAACGAGCAAACTCATCGTTTTCCACGATCGACACAAAGCTCGTTGAAATTTTGACATGGAGAATAATCTACAAAGTATATTTTTTTGAAGCACTTTATAACAGTCTCAAATAACATGTTCTCCAAATCTACCACCAAAGTCCTTTAACATTGTGCAAGAAAACGACCAAGCAAATCGCCATGATGATGCTTAACAAATGAAACATGAATTAAATAGTAGAGAAGCAAAGGCTTTAAATTTCCCCATGTGTAAGCTTTCCTTTCTATGCAAAACTTGTTACAAGCAAAGAAATCATAACATAATTTCTCCATCCAAATCCCTCTTTTATATATACTTACATGTATGCATTGAAGGAGGCATGGCAAAACAATACAAACTTTCCAAAGTATTTAATCGAATAACTAGTGTACCAAATTTAAGAAGAAATGTAAAGTAATCTTTTTTTTTGATATATTTCCATGCCATATCTAAGCCCTTTAAACCACATGCCGTGGATCCCAAAAGTAAAGTGCACACATCAATTATTCCCTTCAAAATAAAACCAGCCAATGAATATTTTAGCAAACTCGACAATAGCCTTCGACATCTCTCGAAGAGGACTAAAACCTTATTTGATAACCAAGTAAATCTAGTGGAACTAGACAACAAGAAAAAGCAGTAAATGCACCCTCTAATTTATAAAAAGGCTAATTTTAACAAAGATCAAAGCCATTTCAACCATCACATTTTTTTTGAAGCATAAGATATTCATTCGCAAGCGACGAGTTTAGAGAAGGAACATTCATGAAAGTAAGCTCTATGACTCTACACATATCTCATTAAGTGATTAGATACATTTTAAGATTCTCTTCTTTTTTTTTAAACAATGCATCAAAGAGGATTTTTCAAGAGCAATCTCACCAAATAAAACTTTAATATTAACCAATGTCTATGGCTTTCTCTTGAAAGCATTTCAACGAACATCTTATATGCAAGGTTTGTAAAGCTTCGTAAAATAAGTTATCAAAGGAACCATGGTTCACGCCTAAATCTCAATTAAAATCTCTACATAATTTATCAAAGCTCTCTTTCTATCCACATGACAATTACTTCCATCAAGAAGACATAAGCATAAGGGCTAAAATAATAACTCCAAGCAATTTATTCTCAGATTTTGTAAAGAGTTTCAATAATATCATGAAATCTACCACAGAGAATGAGGGCATTCACTTAGAAACCAATAGGGCTAGGAGTGTAATGACATATACACTACAAAGCCTCACAAGACCACTTAAAATTTGTGATAGCCATCTCAAAATACGCATATGTGAAGCATAAAGAAATGAAACTCAAACAAGATGAGTTCTCAGATTTTTTTTTTTTAGGAGAAGGAGAATGAGAGAAGGGTAGAGGAAAATCAATGGAAGAAGAAGAAGAAGAAGGACAAGAAGAAATGGGAGATCAAACAGGAGAGAAGAAGGGAGATACTCACCTTGCTAAGGAGGGGCTTGCTCGGTCCAGGCGGCGTCGGCCTCCCATGGATTCGCGAATTGGAATGGGAGAGGGAGTGGGGGAGAGTTCGGCCTGGCTTCGTGCGAAAACAGAGAAGAGAGGGAGCGGGTTCGGCCTCTTCCTAGACTCACGAACGGGAGATGGGATCGAGGGCTTGGGCGTCGGTGGTTCGGCCTGGCTCCGTGCGAAAATAGAGAAGAGAGGGAGCGGGTGGAGGCGAAATCCAGAGAAAGAGGGAGAGGTTCGCGTGGGAGAGGGAGAGCAAGGGAGATCGAAATTTAGAGAGAGAGAGAGCAGGAGAGAAGAATGCCGAGAGAGAGCGCCTTCATCTCGAGTAAATCGAGTCCATCGCCGAAAGAAGAAGCCCGCCAATTCTCGCCATCGTGCTCCAGCGTCCGACATTTCCTCAAACAACTTTGTTCTTCGCTCGATGTCTGCTCGAATCGCAGAAATCTTCTGATCAGCGCGATCTTGGCCGAGACGAGGATTTCGCTCGATCGTGGTCGTCGAGGCGATTTTCTGATCAAGGAAACAAATTCAAATTTTTTTGGAAAGTTAAACAGGTTTGGATATGATTAAATTGAGCTAATCCAATCTAATTCAATTAGACCAGATAAAATAAAAGTCCAAAATTTGAGTCAATTCGAGTCGGTTCGGGTTCGAGCCAGCTCGACGAATTCAATTGCATGAAATCAAGTTCAAGAATTAACATCTATTTAAATTGAATCGAACTCGACGCAACCAAAATAAAATAAACTGATCTAACCGAACATAATCGAATCTAATCCAACTCGAGTCGAGTCGATTTGAGCTCGAATCGGGCCCGACGGGGTTCGATTAAATCGATTGAAAGTGCTCGAGTATATTCGAGCCAAAATCGAGGTCAACAGAACACAGCCAACCCAAACAAGCAAGAAACCAACACCAAAGGTTTCCATGAGTCTTGACTACGGATGAGTGAGCCCCAACCACATCAATTCCCAACAGCTCAAATAGCCATCATTAAACTCAGATCGAGGCTTCAGTGAACCGACAACTAGTAAAAATTGACTAATGCAAAAATCAAGCATCATCGAGAGGCAACCGAGAACATCAGCACCAACCCACAAATTATTTCCACCCACGTTTACCCCTCCCACGAGAGGAAATTGAAACCACAGGACGATCATTCTTTACGGGAAAAACAGCCACATGTTCATCCTCCCCACTAGCTTCCGAAGATGAATCAAATGAACACTGTAGTCAATCAAGTTGTGACCTAACATCCTCCCCCGAATTGGCACCCACATGTGCATCCAAAGCCTTAGGTGAAACAAAATTAAGATGGACCTCAACAAAATGACCCGATATAGAAGGCGTAACTGGAGTAACATAGGATCAACACTAGGTCCCTCTCGCATCACATCCAAAGAAGTGACCATTCCAAAGTCACCAGAATATTCCACAGCTACATTATGCAACTCATTAGCATTAAAACGACACGGAGCTGACACAGCCTCCCCCACAGACGAAACAGGACACTCATTAACAGCACAACCCAAAGGACTAGTACTAGCACAAGCCCGAGAAAGCTGAATATAAGGTAAAACCCTAGCCATCTTATTCACAGAATCCTTTACATTAGACCCAGCAGAACTAGCCTCATCAATCTTATTGTTCAACGAAATAGGTAAATGTTTAAGAGAATTCGACACTAGCTCATTAACAGGAAGCAAAACAGCAACATCTACCTCAAGATTACCAACGTCACAACCCAAACCCTGCACCTCAGGCACCGAAAAAATAGGGTTCACAGAAACCTCAACAGGAGCAGGAGAAATAGGCAGCACAACCTCAATACAATTAATGGGTGAGCCAACATCAGCCGCAACACCCACATGATCGATAGCCCCCAGGGTTCACCCCTGAAATTGGAACAACATTATCAATTGGAACATAAGCATTAACCAAACGAGAAGAAGAAGCTTTGGCCAATTTTGGGTTCAGGGAAGAACATTCCGCTTTGGAATGACCTAAAGAGATACAATGATCACAGTAAAAAGGAACAGCCTGAAAGTTAACAGACCGGACATACCTAGATTTTCCAGCCCAATTCATACATTATTCAGAAACTTTTTAGAAACATCTAATTTGGCTAACACACGAGCAACAGAGGGTCCAGAACAAACAACAGTAGCATGATCAATTTTAAGAGGTCAGCCCAAAATGGAGCCAAGCCCCTGAAGGATTCTCGGGGAGAATAAGTGAGGTTGCAAATTCGGGAAAGACAAACAGATGGGAATAATAAAAGATTCCATATTCACATCAAACGAATGAGTCTATTTGATTAAACACATGTAACAATTGTTAATGAAATATGAATGATGTGCAAAGATGTATCAATAATCCAAATCATTCCCAAGTTTGATGAGAACATTCTTCGAATTAAGCACAGTAATAGAGACTTCACCGTTCAACTTAAGATTAAAAAAGAACTTACAAATAACATCAAGGGACAGGCGTTGAGATGGAAATTTTCCAACCAAACCAAAATCAAACGATTGAGCAAGTGCATGTATCTAAGCATCATAAATCCACAGAGAAGGCATCCCTCGATGGGAAGAGAATTTCAAATCAGGGAAAGGGGAATGGTTACCGGAAAGCACCTCACGGAAAGACGTAAAAGATTTGCTCTCAAGAAAACCACGATCAACCAAACGAGAACCAGCCATAAAAAAAGCAAAAACACGGAAAATCAGAGAGATAGAACAAAAAAAAAGCGCAAAAATGAGCGGAAAACCACTTTCATGACCGGAGAGAAGAGCGCTCACATAAAATCGCCATGGAGGGGAAACCCTAGCAGAGTGACAGAACCAGCCATATGTCCTTAAAAATTGGGTAAGATCCGCCCAAGCGGGTAGCCTTAACCGCATGTGATCGGTAACAGAATAGGCTCGTAAGCCATTCCCGTCTCTATCTTAGGAGATGCCAACTGTCTCTCCTTTCAACGAACACAACCCTTAGGTAAAACATTAGATTTCTTGAAATAGGTCTCCCTTAAATTTCTTGAATTCTATTTAATTCTTTGTTAATTGAAGGAAAATTTTGCTATTTAATTTGTTATAAATCAGTTATATTAAACTTATCAAAATTCAAAAGTTAAATCCATTTAAAGAGAAATTAAGAATTTGTTTAGGACGACTTTTTTTCCTGCTTCTTAAAACATAATTAGATTATCCCAATTCAATAAATTTTTTAGACTTAAAATTGTTTTTTTCAACTATTTTTATCAAATGATAAGTTTTTTTGAACACTTTTTTTATTCTTAACATCGATTTGAAACTTCATTGTTTGCCTAAAATGAATAAGAATTTGATTACAAAGTCTAAATGAAATATTAGATTATATAAGAGATGTTTATAACTCATTGCTTGCTTTATTTTCTTATGTTATATAACGCTCTTCAGTGATGCTACAAATCGTGTGAAGTTAATATAGATATTTGAAGATATATCACACAAAATTTTATTCCAAGTTAGCCTCTTAATTAAAGTATTATTAGAGCTTTTAATATGATTTAAAATATAAATATAACTAAATTACATTATTTTAATTTTAGGATAATTTACAGAAGGTATAAGTAATGCGCAGGGGCAGAAACAGTCTTAATTTGTGTGTGTTGGGGTGGAGGGGGTGTGCGAGGGCAAACTTATAAGTAAAAGTAAAGAGAATTTTTTCCATAAAATTACTAACAACCAAAATTTGTTCTGACGACGCTGCCTCTTGACCACTATTTATTTATATCCTTGATCGTTGTACGCTTCGTAGATATGTCGATGCTATCTCTCTTACTTTTTCACTTTGTATTTGGTTCATCGTTCCCTAACAATAACATCTCTACACAATATATTTAATTATGTTGGGGCAATTGCCTAAAGACCATTGTATTTTAAAACATTTATAGTGGGGTAATTGCCTAAGAACCCTTGTAATATAATAAATAAAAAATTCTTTTCATTGTTTCATAGACATATAAATGGAGGGGATACAAATTACATAAGGAATCATATAATATAGATTTTTTTTTACTTTTTCATGCCGGGGGTGGGATGGGAAGCATTGCCCCGGGCTTAAGATGGATCTAACCCTGGTAATGTGAAACAAAAGAAAAAAAATTGACCCACAGTGATATGTGCAATATTTGGTGATATCACATGCACCGCCCACGTCTAAGAAGTTCACAAATGTATGTAAATTTTATGTTTTAATTTTCATTCTGTTATTTGAACTTAGCATTTATAATACTTACTAATGACAGCCAGTGAACATTCATCTGATTTTGATGTTGGGTGGTGAAAACTGTGATGCCTTGGTATCTAGAGTGGAAGTGTTTATTTTATTCTTCCTTGTAATTTGTTTCTATTCTATTCATTAGCAAACATATATTTGATAACTAGAACCTGCCTAATTGCATTCAAGAAATATAACAACAGCAAAAAATTATAATTATATTACTACAAAAAAAAAATCCTCATCCTTATTTAAAGTTCAAAGTCAAAAATTATATATGCATGTGAAATATTATTATCATTTTTCATGTGTATCTTGTAATTAAGTTTCTACATACAATAAATAAATAAATAAATAAAAACGTTTACATTTATTAAAATAAATAATAAGACTTTTTCATTGTTTTATATATATATATATATATATATATATATATATTCATGAAAATTAAAACAAGTACTATGGTAGGTCAACAATTATAGCCGTGTAATGCATGTGGGTTTGAAAATTCAAATGAATAGCACAAAATGTGATGACCTATGTCATTGCTTAAAACATGATGTATGTGATTCTAGAAATCCATGATAAATTAGTCATTGATCACATGCAATGTGACAGTTCCATTTTTTGCCCTAGTTGATACCTCCTCATCGACAATTCTTGGAAATTCTAATTTCATTAAGATTTCATTTGGGTCAGATTTTTTACTATTTTATTAAGTTGTTTCTTAGTAAAAAAAAAATTAAATTTAAATTGAAAGCTATCTTAAACGAAGTCTAAGGCTTCGTTTGGGACGGCTTTCTTATTGCTTTCTAAAACGGAGTTTTAGTACAATTTTTTTTATTTTTTAACTAAAACTTCGTTTTAGAAAGCAATAAAAAAGCCGTCCCAAACGAAGCCTAAATTTCAATGAAAAATTGGCTACAAATCCTATTCCTCTATCAAAGTTTAGTTATTTTAATAATTCTATCTTTAATTTTTATTTTTCTTATCTCCCAAATTAAATACATTTTGTTTTACTTGGTTTTACAAAGATCTCAACAGTCCCATTAGAACTAATTTGAATAAGATATCAATTGATTAGTCAATGCTTGCTCAACTTCTTTCATATCTCTTTGTTCATAATTCTTCTTAGGCTTCTTTTGAAATAGCTTTCTTACTATTTTCTACAACAGCCTTCTAATTAAAAAAAAATGTCAAAGCCAATGAAAAAATAATGTTCAAAAGTTGTCCCAAACGTTTACATCACCTCATCACTTATTGTTAACATTAATTAGTGTTACAAATATTTTTTTTAAAAAAATTATTTTACTTTTAAGAGAATTTTAGGAACTATTTATCTTTTAAATTGGGCAACTTTATTGAAGGTGATATAAGTTTTGTTATTTATTGCAAGTTGATACTTGTAGCCTCACTCAAATTTTACCTTTGCTTCGAAACAATCAAACGACACTCAAATGATCAAAGACGAGCAAAATGGCTTTATTCCCTTCTTCATAACTATCCTCATTACACAAATCTATTATTTGAAGTAAAATACAACAATTGTAAGTTATCTTATTCTATGAAGCTTAATGATCAATCATTCAAAGGTGCTAATTAAGCCAAGTTACTCATTATGATGAGGATGCCTTCATATTCAATAAAATAACGGGTAGAAGGAAAAAAAATTAAATGAAACGAGACACTGATTTGTGATAGTTTTTACGCTATCCTTGTACAACTATGAAGCTAAAATCATATATTATTCGATCATCTATAACATTCAACTTTCCCCGAATACTCAAACCTTGCCTTGCCACTGCAACTATCATTGCAGTAAGGCTCATGACCCTTTTATTCACAATGTATTAGAGTTAGTTGAATGATATCGTCGTCAGCCTATCTAATTATATGTGTTATCAAAGATCGTGTGTACTATTATCCATTAAAAAAAGATTGTATGTACCATCATCCATAAATAATTGTTGTAGAGTCATATTTTGACATGCATGGAAAGCTTTGCATTGATCAATCAAGCATTTATGGGAGTTTGATTTGACTAGATACTAATATAGATTCATGCATGAAGAAGAAAGAACATATCTATATTGAATTTATTAACAAGATGGAGCAAGTGGATCTAATAAATCAAAGAATTCCTTTCAATCAAAGTAACGAAAGTGTATGCTTCAAGCATCATTTTTAAATATTAATAATATATTTTGTTATAATTGATTTTCCTATAAATAAAATCATGTCTTCAACAATCATTATTAATTTATAGGAAAATATAATTTGAGAAATAATGGGCATACTTGCTTCCCCGTAGTAGCAGAAATTCAATGATATTTTTTAAATATATGATTAAATATTATTATTTAAAAAAAATGATCACCTTTTTCGACACTCACACTAAAGTTATAGCCTTACTTGGGATTCGTTTTAATTTTTTTTTTAACCATTTTAAGAAAATTTTTATTCAACCATTCAACTCGTATCAACACCATAATATTTTTTAAACAAACAACGTCGCAACAAAGCAATGGCAACAATAGTCAATTAAGGCAGTCTTTGGGTTGGATTTCTTACTATTTTTTAAAGTTAATTTTTAGTAAAATAAATTTTTGAAGGAAAAAATTTTATGCTAGAAAGCTCTTTTATGAAGCATAAAGAAAGTTGCCCTAAATCATTTAGGTTTTCTAAAGCAACATTTTAATTTTTTGCACTTAAAATTATTTTAAAAAACAGTAAAAAAACTGTCCAAAATAAACCTAAAATAATTTTTTAGTATAAAACTTTTTAATTAATTTTTCTTTTACTAGAAAGATGTCTTAAAAAGTAATAATAAAGTGTCCCAAATGAATCCTTAATTCTGCTATTCCTCTTTTTACTTAATTAGTTGAAAAACAACTATGAGAAGTTATTGTGATTATGGTAATTAGAGCTATTTTACGGCATCTGTAATGTAAATATTAAACTAGAAATAAGTAAGAAAATTTTTATTTGATATAAATTATTATGATTTATTATGCTCTTTTATCATTAAAATAGAGAAATTTGCTCTTACTCCTTTCTGCAACTGTTTTCAAAAACAGGAATTTCAAGTTAAATGTTATAAGGTTTCAGTAATTTATTAAGTGAATTTAATGCTCCGTTTGAGATTATTTTCTTACCATTTTTTAAAACAACTTTCTAGCTTAAAAATTTATAGTTCATGAAAATTTTTATTAAAATTCTATTTTAAAAAACAATAAAAATACTATCCCGAATGAAACCTAATTCAAACTAACTGCAGGTTAAAAACTATTTTTTACTCAAGAAAATAATCCCAATCGTGCAAGTTTTGTGAAGAGAAATGTGGAATGGGAGACATAAAATCAAATAAAGACGTCTACTTGACATGTGAATCCTCTAATTAACTATTTTAAAAAACAATAAACTAGAAAATATAAGTCTCTTACGAAGTAGGTGAAACAAAAGAAAAAAATTGTTCACAAATTGTTCCACATCTATGTGCAATATTTGGTGATATCACATGCACCGCCCACATCTAAGAAGTCCACAAATTGTATGTAAAATTTTAAGTTTTAATTTTCATTCTGGTTATTTGAACGTTAACATTTCATAATTTTCTTAGTATTGACGAGGCAGTGAATGTTCATCTAATGGTTGATGTTGTGGGTAAAAATGTGATGCCTTGAGATCTAAAGTGGACGAATTTTATTTTATTTTCTTCCTTATTA